CCCCGTCTCTGCCAAAGTTACAAAAGCCAGGAAAAGAAGGTCCGCCCGGCCACGGCACTCCCGACCCTTGTCCTTGCTGCCCTTGTCTCTGGAGGTTGGGGACGTTCTCCGGGTGGCCACTTAGGCCACCAGCCTTGTTCACATAAAAGCCACCAGCTGGCCCAAAGGGTATAAAAAATACAGCCGGTTTAACAGCCCGGCTGCCGTCGTCGGTGGGAGTTGTCTGGCTGCCTTTCTCGGTGGGTGGCTCTGGCGTACGTACGCTCCCATCAGGGTGCCTTGTTTTTAGCACAGGCGTCCCGTGTTTCCTCCCAGGACTCTGTGCTATGTAGGGCGAGCGGTCCTGACTGTACCCTGCGGGAACAAGATATTTTTGTATTTGCATTTCATAGAGAAGCTAAAGTGGTGGGTCTCAGTGTAGCTGCATGGTGGGATCCCCTGAGAGTTTGGGAAAGTGTCTTTGCCTGGGCCCCTCCAGACACCGGCTGGCAGTGGTCGGTGTGGATTTAGGGTGTGTGTAGCTGAACGCATGCTAGGCGGGTGCTCCGCTGCCGAGCTGTGCCCCAGCCCATGGGCTTTCCAACACCCCCTTTGAGGAGCATTCTGATTGGTAGCCGCTGTTGTGAGCTGCATTTAAGGATGCCAAGGCAAGTACTTGAATGCCACCTCTCCCACGCCCACCCCACGACCCCGAGTCCACTGTGTTGCTTCTGCTGAGAACTTCTAGGGACATTCTGCTTTGGAAACTCCCCACAGCGTGTGACCCCACGTGCCCTCAGATAGGCTTAGACTCAAGTGACATTCTTAGAGAGCTCGGCGGGCGCACAAAGCTCTTGAGTACAATGCTCTCTGTCCCCTGACGACGGCTCCCTTTTTCCTACCCCATATTTTGTTACCTTTTGCATTGCTGTTTGATGGTAGCGATGGACCCAGGGCCTTGCCCAAGATTAACCAGCAAGCAGGTGATTTTTGGTTTGTTTGTAAGGGGGTGGGGATGTGTACTGGTGGATCAGCAGATTTCACTGGGTGGTCCCTGTGTCCTGGGGTCTCGTGTGCCAAGGACCATCTAGTAGCTTGGGTTTTGATGGGACGTGACAGACGGTGAGCAAGAAGAGCCATTTCTTACTGTAGAAAGAATGCAGCGGCGGTGGGTGGATGGCTGTGAGTTTAGGACTGTCGGAAGCTCTAAGCAAGAGCGTGAAGAACAGGCCAGCTCCAGAGTCTGTTCTCAGCCAGCAGGGAAGAGGCAGGAGTGGCCTTACAGAGAGGGTGGAAGACTCGGTTCCGTTGATGTCGCTTTCCTGAGAGTGTTCCTGTTCTCCTGAGTTTTCTCTGCCTACCTTAGGCCTGGAAGAGGGCGGCTTCTCAGCAGATGCTATGGAACAGAGAATTAATTACAGTGTCAGTATTGGCGTGTACAAGCCGCATGACTTGACGAGGGTGGGTCATGGTGTCTCCATCTCTGTACTTGGGAAGCCGAGGCAGGACGATTGTGAGTTGAGCATGCCCCTGCCTCTCATAAGGCAGCACTGGATTGCGGGGAGCAGGAGGGGCCCACAGCAGTTTGTTTGCTTATGACCAAGCTTGATTTTGCTGGAACCATAGATTCAAATGTGTCCCTCATCCCCTCCCCCAGTGGTAGATTCTGGCAAAGTTCTAACACATTACATTCTCACAGCCAGGGTATTGACCCTGGTTCCAACAGGATACAGAATGGAGACGTCTGTCACCAATCAGAGGTCTGCTCACAGCCCTCTGCCTCTTCACAAACCCCACACCTCTCCGTTTTGATATCTGAGACTACTGGATGTGTAGAATCATGGGATACATGGCCCTTCAGGGTTGGATTTTTTCACTCCATGTGATTCCTTGGGTTTATTCGGGTTGTTCCAAGAATGAGTGTGCTCTCCCTTTTCATTGCCGAATAGTATTCCATGGTATGGATGTGTCAGAGCTGACTGCTTCAAGTTTTAGATTATTTTGAACAAATCTGGGAAATTCAAGTGCAGAAGAGAGAGAGTGTGTGTGTGTGTGTGTGTGTGTGTGTGTGTGTGTGTGTGTGTGTGTGTGTGTTTATACACCTGAGCTTTTGTTTCTCTGGATGAATGCCCAGAAGTACAGTTTCTGGGTCAAATGGTATTTCCATGTTTAGTTTCATGAGAAGTGCCAGAGTGGATGGACACAGTTTATTTTTGTTGGTTCTTCCCAACAGTTTAACAGTGGAAGGCAAGATTCATGTGGCTTTCAGTCCACGGAGCCCACAGAGAGCTCGGGGTGCCTCTGGGGTAGATGGGGCCCAGGAGCCCTACCTGCCTCCCAGGACCCTCCTTAAAGTACCACTTTCCCTTGCCGGGCTCTCCCTGCTTGCTTAAGCAGCAGAGAGAGAGAAAGGTGTCCCCACCACCAGCCTTGGGGTGCTGCGGGCTCTTGTTTTACAGTGTTGAGATGGAGGGGGGGTCAAGTGGCTTTGGGACTGGGGTCCTCTCCCATTTCGGAGGATTGTGGTCGTTAGGGCCTGTGGTCCTAGCTGAACAAGTGCCTCCTGCGTGGGGATCGGGTACCCAACATTCAAGGGCTTTCCCCTTGTCCTGGGGGTTCCCTGTCTCTGCTGTCTCTGCTGTGTGTGCCGTGTGCGAGTGCAATCCCACCCGGTACCTGGTGGGAGGTCAGGGAGCAGAGGACTATATACAGCATGCGGAGAGGAAGGAAGTCTTCGCAAAAATAGCCTGGGCGGGGTGGCAGACGATTTTCACGGGAAAACCGATGGCTGGGTGGAGTTGATGAGCTGCCGGGAGAGGTGTGGACACCTCGCCTTGGTGAGGGGGTGAACTTAAAATGCAGAGTGAGGCGGCAGTGGGCAGGCTGGGGAGAGGAAGCATGTCCCGAGTGAGGAAATAGGGAAATGGTCTTCGAACAGACTGTGGCCGGGCTTTGTCTTAACCCCTCACAGCCTCCTGCCCCAAGGTCCGCACAGCCAGCTTCCGGTATCTGTCAGTGAGGAGAAAGAAGCCTGATGGGCAGGCACAGTTACCCCGTCCCTGTGGGTTGGCTTTGCTGATGGGATGACCCAGGAGCGGAGCTGCTGGGCGTGGGAAACATGGGAGGATCGGTCACTGTAAACACAGTTCTCTCTCTGCCCGGCTGGGCTCCTTTGATCCGAGGCCGATGAAGCATACGTTGGCATCCTGCCAGCTTAGACCCCTCCGATAAAAGTGGCCCTGATTTCCTGGACAGTCCTGCCTGCGCCGTCACAGCTGTTGGGTTCCGCCAGCACAGCAGCAGCTGGCCAGAATTCAAGGCAGTGCAGCCGCGGACGCCAGAGTCCTGCGCTGAACCGTTGGGAGGGAAGCGGGCCTTGCCCTTTGACTGGGGGGAGCGCCCACAAGAAGGCGGAGGGGCAGGAGTCTCTGCCCAGCAGGTGGAGCCTTCTGGGAGAGCGGGCAGGGTGGGCCGGGGGGGAGGCTTTGGGAGGGGGCCCCTAGCACTTGCCCGTGAACTGAGCTCTGTGGGTCTCACCAGCCTCGTGTGTGTTTCTTGCAGACGCAGACTGTTCAGCTTAACAAAGAGATGACGCTGGCCAGCAACCGGAGCCTGGCAGAGGCTAACCTTTTGTACCAGCCCCAACTGGACGCTCAGAAAGCTCGCCTGACCCAAAAATACCAGGAGCTCCAGGTTCTCTTTGAGGCCTATCAGATAAAGAAGACCAAGCTAGGTAACTCTCCTCAAGCGAGCTTTGACACTAAAGAGTTGCAGGAAGGCTACATAGTTCAAGCGATGACCCTGCCAGGAAAATGACCTGGAAAAACTCGAGGCCACGACAAAGACTCTGCCGTAACAAGCAGTGGTGTGTGTGTAAATCACACTGGTGCTGGGTCAGGGCCGTAACAAGCAGTGGTGTGTGTGTAAATCACACTGGTGCTGGGTCAGGGCCGAGCCACTTTCTAAATTGAAGACTGCACCCGCTCCAGGTAGCGGAGGAGAAAAGGCAGCCTTCTGAGTCCTGGCGGTGGGTCAGAAGCGTGCAGTTCTAGATGGCCAGAGAGCTTATCACTGCAGCGTCGTGCTGAGATGTCACAGCTAGTCTCACCTTTGTGCAGAGACGGAGGGACTGAGTGTGTGCGTGCGTGCGTGCGTGTGTGTGTGTGTGTGTGTGTGTGTGTGTGTGTGTGTGCGCGCGCGCTCTCTCGGAAGGTAGAACCTTGCTGCTTCTACCTCCCAAGTGCTGGAATTGCGGGTGTAAATCAGCAACCTCAGCACTTCTTACAGGTTCATGGAGCTTTAGATTAAGAAACCTTGGGGAGGCCAGGCAGTAGTGTCGCACGCCTTGAATCTCAGCACTTGGGAGGCAGAGGCAGGTGGATCTCTGTGAGTTCGAGACCAGGCTGGTCTACAAAGTGAGTTCCAGGACAGGCACCAAAGCTACACAGACAAACCTGTCTCAAAAAACCAAAAAGAAAAAAAGACCTTGGGGCTAGAGAGAGATGACTCAGTGGTTAAGAACACTGGCTGCTCTTCCAGAGGACCCAGGTTCAATTCCCAGCACCCACATGGCAGCTCACAACTGTCTGTAACTCCAGTTCCAGGGCATCTGACAGCATCACACAGACATCCATGCAAGCAAAACATCATCAGTACATATAAAATAAAAATAAACTATTAAAGGGAGGGAGAAGAACTCTTGTAGGAGCCAGGTGTGGTGGCGCACACCTTTAATCTCAGCACTTGGGAGGCAGAGGCAGGTAGATCTCTCTGAGTTCTAGGCCAGCCTGGTCTACAGAATGAGTTCTGGGCCAGTCAGGGCTACACAGAGAGACCCTGTCTCAAAAATGAAAACCAAAATCACCTTCTTTTGTGAACTTTAGTGGTGGCTGCTGTTTGTTGTAGTTCCTTCTGTCTCTGTAACATCAGTAAAGTTACCAACACCCACCCAGAACGGAAGGAAAATTGAAAAGACTAGCAATACCCAATGCTGGTTTGGGACGCCATTTTGGAAGAGCCTCGTGGCCCGGCCTTCTGAACACAAAGTATAGTCTGTGACTCAGGGACACCGGGGCACGCGCCCGTGGAAGGGGACGCCATGTCCACGAGGACCAGCACAGACGCTGGGTGTTTGGTTGGTTGGTTTTTGTTTTGGTAGAATCAGTAAGTTGAAGAATAATCTTCAGTGTCCATCTGCAGAGTGCGTGCTGGGGCGTGGTGTTGACACAGTGGGGTGGCAGCTTTGAAAAGAAATGAACCTCAGATCCACCTAGTGTCTAGACGGAGCAGGAGGTGATGCCGAGTTGAGACAAGTAGCCAGAGCACACTCGGGCTGCAGAGCCAGGACAGCCCTGTCTGCTGCAGAGGCCAACCCTGAAAGCGGAAGGGAGAACGGACATGGTGGAGCCTTCGGGGAGGTCTCTTCTGGCCTGACCTGGTGGGGGAAGTACTCGGGTTTTATTCATATGGTGTGTTTGTTTTTTAAGATTGATCTTTATGTAGGTGTCTGTATGAATGTATGTTACCTGATGTGGGTGCTAGGAACTGAAGCCAGGTCCTCTGGGGGAGCAGGAAGTGCTCTTAACTCCGCCTTCTCTCCAGCCCCTCCTTTGTTTTCTAATCTAAGACCTAAGGCTTGAGTGTGTGCTAGATTAAGGTATCGGTCAAAAATGGGGCCTGATAGGAGAAAAGGTAGGAAATGCTCCTTTGAATGGTGACAAAGGCCCGCCGCTGTAGGAGGAGGACTTCAAGGTTCAGGCCACCTGGCCAGTTTAGTGAGGTTGTATCTTACCGTATGAGTGGGTGGGATGCAGATGAAGGCCAGTGGCAGACTGCCCGCCTCTGCATGTGAAGCCCTTGTTTAACCCTCAGTGCTGGAGAAAGCCCGGATGATTAGTGTAGTCACACATGGGAAGCAGCCAGCCCCTGGACAGATGCTGGCCTGCGCTCTGAGGTGGGGTGCTGGCCTGCGCTCTGAGGTGGGGTGCTGGCCTGCTCTCCCTCCTGGGACCTGTTCCTTGCAGTCCCTCTGGTGTATTTGAGGGACTTGACTTTCAGATCCTGGAAAGTCTGCTCCTGTTGCCTTTCTAGTTAAAATGACTTTCTTGGTGGCGCACGCCTTTAATCCCAGCACTCTGGAGGCAGGCTGATCTCTGAGTTTTAGGACAGCCAGGGCTACCCAGAGAAACCCCGTCTCAAAAATGAAACACACACACACTTTCTCTAACAAGGAAACTGAAAGCGTCCTCGTGGGATGCCCTGCCTCATGCCGTGGTATTTCTTGCCTTCCCAGATAAACAGTCCAACAGTGCTTCCTTGGAGACCCTGTTAGCACTTCTTCAAGCAGAAGGAGCCAAGATTGAGGAAGACACTGAGGTAAGGCTGGACGACCTTGTGGGACTACCTCGGGCCGCGTTTCTGGGTCACCCTGTCCAGTCAGTGGACCTGTTTCCTTCAGGACACGGGAACCCCACACCTCCTCTGCCGAGAGGTGGCATTTCCCAAGCACACGGGGCTGAGGGCAAGTGGGGACATTGGCTAGAGCACGTGCTAGGCAGGGGTCCAGAGGGCAAGGAGGCAGGCAGTTCAGCGCTGACCCAGAGGAGGGTGTGTGTGATGCCCTGCCAGTCTTGGGTGTCAGTGGCTGAGAGGCGTCTGCTGTGGTCAGTGAGTCAGCTGGTCGCTGCAGCGCCTTCCAGACACGGCTGGCTGAATGCATGGCCAGAGCCCTGTCAGGGAGGAAGTGAATCAGGGCTGGCGCAGGTCGCCCAGGTCGCCCAGGTCAGGCTACACTGTTCTGACTAACCGTTAGGCTTTGGTGGGCCCTGATAGCCACAGGCAGGGTTCTCTGCTGCTGACCTGTTGGGGGGCGGGGGGTCATTTGGTCAGGTGCAGCCAGGTGGAAACCAGAGGGCAGAGCCTGGGCAGGGACGTCTCTGGAGGAGAGAGCTGTGTGGTGGCTCAGGGCTGTGGCCTTGTATGACAAGGCCAGCCAGCCCCGCCATCTGTTGTGATTCTGGAGGGTGGCCAACAGCAGGACCACCCCTCATCCTGCTGTGACTCTGCTTGGTGGTGGCTCCTGCCAGCGTCACCCAGGCCCAGTTCAGAAGACAGGCATTGAGGCGTATTCCCGGATGGGGTGCTGCAGGGAACAGAGGACCCCTTCCCCGTTGCCTGGACTGTGAAGGGCGCCTGCTTCCTAACAGTTGGCTGGCCTGTCTTCTAACCAGCTTCCTCCTGCTGCTTGTAGAACATGGCAGAGAAGTTTCTGGATGGGGAGCTGCCCCTGGATGCCTTCATCGACGTCTACCAGAGCAAGCGGAAGCTGGCTCACACGCGACGTGTAAAAGTGGAGAAGCTCCAGGAGCTGGTGCTGAAGGGACAGAGACTCCCCCAGGCCGGGGCCCCAGTACCTCCCAGGGTGCCCGAGCCATCAACTGCCACCCCCCTGCCCTACCCGCCTCTGGAGGCCGCCGCCGGGCTCCCTTGTGTCATGCCGCGGCGCATCCCCCCACCTCCACCCCCAGTGCCTGCAGGACACGTAGCCACCCCGTTCACGGCTGCCATGACAGGCTCAGGACAGGCGTCTCCATACCCAGGATTACAGTGCCCGCCTCTGCCCCCCAGGGTGGGCCTCCCCTCTCAGCAAGGATTCTCGGCACAGCTGGTGTCACCGTACCCGCCAGCCCTGCCCCAGAGACCCCCTCCACGCCTGGCTCCACACCAGCCAGGCTTCATCCTCCAGTGAGCTCCGCCGGGGTCTCTTCTTCCTGCAAGACACCCCCATGCCTGCCGTGCCAGGCTCTGCAAACGGAGGCCGCGGAGTCCAGCATCTGGGCCGGTGGCGTGGGTGCCCGGGACCAGTGTGTCCATCTGACTTTAGAACTGTAGGTCCGTGGTAAGTAATAGAGAAGGAGTTTTGTGGACCAAGGGGGTTCTGTTGGTGCCAGGCCACAGGCCCGTTCATCACATCAGTCTGTGCTCCGGGTGTGATTTCTAAGTATCTAGTGTTGATGGACTTGAGCATTTGGGAAGAGAAACCTCCCCCCTCCGATTTAGAATCACGGCCCTCCGGTTGCAGTTTTATTTAATAAGCATGGTTAACGATATCTGTTTCATTTTCAAGTCTTGGCCCGCCAGCTGCTGTGGCGCTGTGAGGCCTGGTTTGCACGGGCCGGCCTGGCCGGGCAGCTGGGCTGTGGTCTGTGCCAGCAGGCCATCGGTCCCTTCTCCCTCCCGCCAGACTGGATGCTCTCCTGGTTCAAGGCCGTGGGCAGGCTTTGCACTTGGCTGCTGTGTGCAGAGGCCAGGAGAGCTGTGGCTCTGGGTGGGAGGCCAGTGTGAGCTGGACTTTGCCTCCCCTCACACCTCAAGCCTCATGACGGTTTCTGTGAAAAAAATACTCCGTGTTTTTACTACACTTGTAATTTTCCTGTTTTATATTTGGAAAGAAAACTTTTGACACTCTCAAGACCATTCAGGGAAACTTTTTAAAAAAAATGCAGATACTGTTTCGAGCTGGTTCAAAATGCAGATTTATTGAGTGCCGCCGCTTCCTGTCCGGAGAGCAGTGCACGGTCCCGTCGGCCAGTGCCCGCGCTGTGCCTTAGCTTCACTTGGTGCCAGGACTCAGATGCCCGCAGTGTGCCGGCCATGGCTGCCCTGTTGGGCCCCCAGTTAGGCAGGGCCCTGGCGGTCCTCCCTGCTCTGTGATTGGTCAGAGAAGGCCCATCCACCTTCAACCGGGGTACTCCCGGACAGTGTTCTCTGCCATCGCTGAGTGCTGGGGTGTTGGCCGAGGGCGTGGGAGGGCCTTGGGGAAGCCCCCCTCACGGGATTGGCAGCAGCGGCTCCTTCCTTTCTGGGATCTCATCTGCGGGTGCCATATGCAGAGTTCCCAGGCCCAGGTCGGGGAGGGGCAGCACCATCCCTGCTCCCGGAAGAGGGCTGTGTGCCTGTGGGCAGACCTTAGAGCCACCCCTCACCCTGCCAGCTGGCTGCCACCCAAGGTGACAGAGTCAAGGCAGAGCTGGTTAGAGAGCCTGTCCCTGGCAGGGAGGGACACCAGCCTTTGTCCCCAAGTCCTGTCCTCTGATCATGGACTTGGACTCCTCCCCCCCGGAACTGTTCTATAAAGAGACAAAGCTGTATACCACCTTGATTCCACTGCCACCAGGAACGCCCCGGATTCGAGCTCCAGGTGGAGTGGGAAGGGGCTGCCAGGCTGACCTTGCCATCACTGCCCAGGGCCACAGCTGGCACAGGGTTGTAAAACTGTAGAACTCTTAATAAATTGAGAATTATTCGTTTCAGTTTGTTGCATTTATTTCATTTTTCTTTCAGCCTGCCACTGCTTTACCTGGGGGTGTTTGTGACATGGTTCTAGAATGTCAGTGATCACAGGTCCAGCAGGGGCAGAGAATGTTGTTGGGGTTAGAAACAAAAGCCTGATGGCTAGGCAGAGGCAGGAGGATTGCTGAGTTCAAGGCCAGCCTGCTCTACATCATCAAGTTCCAGGCCAGCAAGGGCTACACAGACCCATTTCAAAAAAATAAAGCTGTGGTGTGTTCTGGATCCCTGGCCCTAGCCATAGGGCTTTTTGGTTGTTTTTCTGACTCGCTCTGTAGCCCAGGCTGGCCTTGAACTCCGAGATCCGCCTGCCTCTGCCTTCTGAGTGCTGGATTAAAGTGTGCGCCACCATGCCTGGCTAGGCTCTTGTATTTTATATGTAGCAGTAACAGAAAATGCTGCTGACCCAGGACTGTTGGGATTGCAGCTGGGGCGGTGTGCTGAGGGCGACTTCCCCGGCTGTCCCTGTCTGTCCACAGGCCGTTTCCGAGGGTGGGTTTGGGGCTCTAACATTCTGTTTCTAGAACAGTGTCCTCTCCCACCCCAAGCCCCACTGTGTGCTGCCTCGGTACAGTGAGGGCGGGGCCTTGCCACCCCCCTGTGCCTTCAGGTACATGGCACCCTAGGCTGAGCCGCACGCCTGCCTGTGGGACTGTGTGCCCCTGCCCCTGGTGGAGCTCTGGACCCTGTGACCTGTGCTGTTGACCTTTGCTGCTGTGTGTCTGGACCCCGAGGCCCCAACAAGGGATGTGACCCGAGAGCAACCCTGTTCAGGCTGTCCCGTGACCTTCTGAGGAGCCCTACGATGACACACAGGAGATGCCTGTGGTCCTATCAGGAAGAAGCAAGCGATTCACCTTGAAGAAGAATCTGATCATTTCTTTCATAGTCGCTAAAGAAGCTTAGAGCCAAACCTGTAGCCTTCCCTGATTGTCGGACTTCAAGGTGATTTGAGAGTTTGTTTTTTTTTCCTTCCAAAGACAGGGTTTCTCTGTGTCCCTGGCTGTCCTGGAATTCATTCTGTAGACCAGGCTGGCCTCAAACTCAGCCTGTCTCTGCCCCCAAGTGCTGGGATTCAAGGCGTTCATCACCACTGCCTGGTGATTTATGATTATGACCTCAGACCTACTGGATCTTTTTCTCCCCTTGGACCCTCTTTACTTACAAGTGGGACGAGAGAAGGCTGGTGAATGATTCAGGCGCGGGACTGACTTCCGGTGTAGGACACCTTGATGACCAGTCTCCAGTTCCAGTTTGGAGTCCCCAGGATGTAAGGTCAGACAGACCCTTGGGGTCACGAGCTTAGCTTGGACCCATTTTCTCTGGTTTTTAAATATGAATAAGAAGTGTTTGAAGTTCTATAAAAACATGATTCAGAAGCCGGGCAGTGGTGGCCCACACCTTTAATCCCAGCACTCGGGAGGCAGAGGCAGGCGGATCTCTGTGAGTTCGAGGCCAGCCTGAACTACAGAGTGAGTTCCAGGAAAGGCGCAAAGCTACACAGAGAAACCCTGTCTCGAAAAACCAAAAAAAAGCAAAAACAACCCATGATTCAGACCTGGCAGCCAGCTCCATTAGCCTCACACTAGAAATCAATTTGCAAAGCACTCGAACACACAGAAGTCTGATTGCCCCAACAGTACACATTATTCTTGTGTCCTCTAAATGCTGAGTGTGGGCATGAGGGCCCCCAGCCACCTCTGTTGAGGCTGTAAGTTGAGTGGTGATCTCTGGAACCTGGAGCGTGTGGCAAGGAGGTCACAGTCCTCACCTACCAGCTCAAACCCTAGAAAGTCTGGAAACTGCCAACTGTAACCAGGACAAATGGTCACAGATGTGGTGCCTGGTGTTAACCCTGGTGAGGTCCTGGGGAGAGCATAGGACTTCCAGGCTGGACCAGCAGTGGCCTCAGTTAGGGAGGCCTTGGCGGTGGGAGGGTGATGGCTGGTTCAGCCTGCAGTTAGGGATGGCCCCTGCGGTAGCCATCGACAGGAAGACTGGTGCGTGGTGACAGCCACCAACTGTACTAGCAAGGCTCTTGGTGTCCCCAGGTTCTAGTGTCAACTGCGGCCTCCCGCGCAGGGCCAGGATCTGTGTGTGCATCTCTAGGGAAATGAAAAGCTGGCGCAGGCCCTCACCAGGTCACTGGTGACAACAGTCAGGGGTTTATTGCCAGGGGAGCTCAAACACAGGGACCAGACAGGGCAAAGGCCTTGGCTCCCTCCCACAGCCCCGGACCTTGGCCCATGGTTGGTAGCCTTCCCAGGGCACAGGGCAGGCAGCTGGGAAGCTGGGCACTTATCCAGTCCAGCTGCTGTCTCTGTTGGCGGCCTGGATACCCACCCCAACCATTCCCCCTCAGGCTCGAGAAACACAAATTTATTCAAACTGTCGGGGGCAGGCAAGGCCAGGCCTCCAAGTCTGGGCTGTTCCACCTGAGGGCCCCACAGGAATTCCTGAGCCCTCAGAAAGTGGGCTGTGGCTTCTGTTTGTTTTTTTTTTTTTTAGCTTCTTACTGAGCTGAAAGGCCCCAGCTTTAGGAGGGCTGAAATCTACCCATGAAGGTGGGTGGTAAGCAGCCACACTGGTGAAGGCAGCCGGGCCAGGAGAACGGAAATCAGGAAGTGGAGGGTCAGCGAGGCGGCCCCTGAGCCAGGGGCCGCCCCAGGCACAGCCGAGCGGCAGGCACCCCGGCCAGCTGCTGCCAGGCTCCCACACAGAGCCGTTTCCTGGGGCTCCAGAGCATGGATGTCCTAGCACCAGGCCCCCAGAGGATGACACAGCCCAGCCACCTGCTCTCCCGTGAGGGCCACATCCCCCTTGTCCCCAAAAGCCAGCAGAGGACCCTCTTTCTGCTCACTTTCAGCCTCAGACTTCAGAGTTCAGAGGCAGGGAGGCTCCTGGCCTTTCCCAGTGTGCCGACTAGACTTAGGAAGAGAGAACACAATATTCACACCGCCCAGATGGTCGCTGCATCGTGGCTCAGGCCTGCTGGGTCCCGGCTACTCTGGGCAGTTCCTACCTAAGATAAATAGACTCAAATCCAGATGAACTATCCCACGGAGCCGAGGCCTCTTCGGCTGGTGAAGGCTGGGGTCTTGGGGAGACTGCTTTGGGCTCCAGGTGCAGGCGTTGGAGGACTCTCAGAGGCCCCTTGACCAGATGGCTACACGAGGCCCAGGCATGACCAGCAGCCACCCTGCTCAACACCTTAGAGGGCCTAGTAGTTCACGAGTTGAGCTGGGTAGACACCATCCTTTTTGTTGAGCTGCAGGGGTCAAAGATGAGGGATCAGTAGATGAAGCCAGAAGCACAGGTACCATCCAGGTGCAGACACGCACACGCACACATGCACGCGCGCGCGCACACACACACACACACACACACACGCACACGCTCTCCTCCCGAACCCCGTACTGATGCCTGGCACCTGGTTGTCTGGCCTGGGGGCTATGCTGGGTTTCTGGGCCAAGGGTGGCTTCTTGGTGGCCGAACTCCGGGGAGCTGGGCTGGGCCTGCTGGGTTCTCCGTCACCGGGCGACCCCATCACCCCGGCCAGTACATAGTGCTGCTTCCGCAGCTCCCCCAGCCGCACGCGCTCCGCCTCCAGCGTCTTCTCCAGCTCCAAGACTCGCACCTGCGGGCCACAAAGCCAGCTCAGCGCTGCCAGGGAGTCCCAGGCCTTTTCTAGAGATCCTCCTAAGAGGGAGCCCGGCGGCTGGGGCCCGAGGTGCTCACCTGTGTCTCCATCTCCTGCTTCTTCAGCTTGATGAGGGACAGGCCGGAGAAATCCATGGTGTCTGTGGTCGGGGGGGAGGAGTCGGCTGAGTGAGCTCCCCCACCCGCTCTGGGAAGCCCCTTGGGTCCCCAGGCACTCGCCTCTGTCCTCGATCTGCTCCTGGCCCGACTTGGTGGAGGCCACCACGTTGGCGGCCCTCTCGTTGACCGTGCGGGAGCATTCCTGGAGCCGGCTCAGGTGCGGGCTGTGCTTGTCGGCCTTCACCTGCAGGGGGCAGGGTGGGCACGGCTGGGTTGGCCCAAGGCCGGGCCGGACCCGAAGCCCGGAGCGGGGGCCAGTGGGAGCAGTGCGGCCTCACTCACCTTGGAGGCGGCCACCAGCTGGGCCGTGCTGGCTGCGATCTCGTGTGAGCAGACGATGAGCTCCTCGTATTTGCCCATGTGAAGCACCACCTTGTCAGCCGACTCCCTGAGAGATGCGGGCCAGTCAGTCTGGGTCTCTGCACCATGAACAGCAGGGCAACCCCAAACACCAGACCTTAGTGCCTGGCCCACCCCACCCCACCTGGGGTGACATACACCAACTGTGTGGCTCCCCAGCCCACTGCCTTAGAGGCGGAGATGAGGCCTTCAGTCCACCGTGAATTCTTGGCATAAAATTCCTGTTGCGTGGCTGCCCCCTAGTGGTGATGAGAGGACAAGAGAGGATCAAGGACATTTCGGGTAGGAATGGGCGCCCAGAGGGTATCCCCGAAACACAAGGCATATATCCCTGAAGCCTCCCTGAGCCGTGGGGGTTCTTAGCTGTGGCAGCAGACACTGTGTGGTGGGGGGCTTCATGCACAAAGGGCCAGGGCGTCTGAGGTCATGGCTCTTGCCGACCCAGCCAGGGAGACTGCCAGACCATAGCCCGTCCTGCTCACCCGGCCGCTCTCCACGATTTCCTTCTGTAGGCTGGTGGAGGTCATCACGAGGAGCCGGATGGCCTGCCAAGACCAAGACGTGGCTTTCCAGGTGGTCCCGGCACAGAGCCTGCCCTGGGGTCGCCCACCCACCCACTGCACTCCCTCACCTTCATCAGGTCTGTGCAGGAGTTGAGGATCCTGAGGAGGGCGGGGAAGGAAGCGGACAACTGCAGTGTGGCCTTGTGACATCACGCAAGGCTCAGCCACAGCAGGGCAGGGACGTGTGCAGCCTCGTGCCCAGACCCTTTTCTGGACAGCTC